TGGCAAGTGCAACGCGCCTCATGTGGGAGAGCGACCGTGCCTCGTTCGCCGGTTATGATCTAGAGTTTGTGGTAGAGATTTCACGTTGTAGAGCGCCTCTACATCGCTCTACATGGGACTCACATCGTCACGCGCCGGATGTAGAGCTCTACAGCGCTCCAGAGCGCTCTACATCTCTACAGCTCTACAGCTCTACAGCGCTCTCCAGCTCTACAGCTCTACAGCGCTCTACACTCTACATCCTCTACACCCTCCCTCAGGCGGCAAGGTCCAGGCCGACCACACGGAGCACCCGAGGCAGCTGGCGTGGCCTCACTCACTCATGAGACATGAACTGTGCTACCCGTCGGCGGGGCCAGCTGCGGTTTCACAACGAGCCGCCCTCCCCTATACATTCACATTTTTGTTGTAGGTCTGTTGTTGGCAAAGCAAGACGCAGCGTAATTCGGGCAAGAATGAGTAAATGACGCGGTATCGGCACGACAAAAGGCGCGAGGTGGCATGAAGGTTGCAGCGAGAATCGGCGAGGGACTGCGAAGGGAGATAGAAAGAGGCAGACGCCCAAGGGTTAGGGTGGGCGACGGCTAGCACCACACTCCTCTCCTTAAAATCCCTGTGTGGTGGCGGCGTGCCGTCCTCCCCTGCTCCCATCCCTCCCTTGGCATGTCTGTTTTCTTTCTTTCTTTGTTTAAAGGCGTGGAATTGCGCACACTAGCGCCCTGCGAGCGCCGAGCGGGGCGGGGCGCGCGCTGTGCGTCTGCGTTCCACCTTGTTCGATCCTCCCCAGAGTCGAACTGGCAGCCACTCGCACCAAGGAGGAATAAATAAATAAATACAACGTACACGCCAAACGAGGGGTGGGAGAAGGACAGGGTCCCCACCTGCACGAGCAGGATCTTGTAAGGACGATCAGGGACACAGGACCAAGGAGGATAAATAAATAAATAAATACAACGGACATCCCAAGCTAGGGCTGGGTCGAGGACAGACACGTCCCCACCTTTGCAGGATTTTGCAAAAGCGAGGGGGGAGGGCGCATCGCCGCGCGGAGAGGGCTGGGCACAGGGCACAGGGGATCTCTCTCGCATAGGATATGCACTCGGCGGCACGAGGGCAAGGCTGGGCGTCCTATGTTTGTGCTCCCCCGCGGACCCCTCGCTCTCGGGCACTAACCATCTGACCACTCATCGACGGGGCTTGGCGAGCGGCCGCGCTGCGGGGCAGGGCTGGTGAGAATGGGCTCTGGCCACTCGCCCGTGCGGTTGTAACCCCGCATCTGTCGGACAGAGGCCTCGACCGCCCCTCGCGGCAAGCTCTCGAGCATCTCGAGCAGCTCGCCCGCCGCCATCGCCGCCTCAAACTGCTCCCTCATGCCGAGCGCGCCGCATACCCTGCGGACCGCCTCCTGCTGCACCTCGTCCGGCGTATCGGTTTCATAGCCGGACGAGTCGGCGGAGGAAGCCCGCTTGGCGGGCGGCGAGTCTCTATCATGAGTGGGCGTTCACGCTCGAACACTTTTGACCGCAGCGAATATGTTCACACCTTGAGCGGAGGCCAATTGATTCGCGATACTCTGGCAAAAAAGGGGTTGGCAACGGGCTTTTGCCCGGGCAAGCCTTCAGCTGGTGCCAACGTACCAAAACGTCCGTCCCGTCGACCAAATACGCGGTCGGTAGAAATGGCTTGCTTGCAAGAATGGGATGCCGACAGGCGTCAGGCGGCGCATGCCGAGAAGTCGCTTGCCGTGCGGGAGCTCGTGCGCCTCTCCCTGCGCGTGCAGTCCACGGGCGTCGTCGCGGAGCTTCATCTCGACACGGCACTGGTTGCTCCGAGCGGCAGCGGAGCTGATCACGAGCGACGAATTCGCCGGGGATGCCAGGCAACAGATGGGCGCGCAGATAATTGGCGTGGCGTCCTAAACAACGCGACCGACGAGCATGCTCAACTGCTGCGCGACGCTCTCTGCGACCCCGACTTTTGTATGCGCTTTGCCATTCGCCGCCGCATTGGCTCAGGGGGCACAGTCCGCTTGCAGTGGCTCTTCCGCACGAATAGCGTTGTTGGCCGCATGCGTCCTGGCATCGGGAGGGTCCGCCTAAGAGGAAGTACGTTCGTAAGAACTGATACATATACTTTTTGTGCGTGGAGCGTCTTCCCCTTTTGCGCAGCAACACCTTAAACTTTTAGGCCCTCCAAATTCGGGTCGGAGCGTAGCGGAGTGGGCCCCGAGTTTGAAAAAGGGCGACGGACGCTTGCGTCCTAGCCTCCAACAACGCCTCCCCGGCGCAGAGGGGCCCCCGGAGGGATGCTCAACCGCTCCACGCCACGCCGCTCGCGGCGGTCCTATTCCCAGCTCCGCTGCGTTTCGTTTTTTCTCACACCACGTGCCTCTGCACCTCCGTTCACGTGCACGAGCTTCTTGAGCCACCCACCCACCCACCCACCTCACGGCCCGGCTGAGGCTTGGAACCACCCACCCACCCCACCCACCTCACGGCCCGGCTGAGGCTTGGAACCACCCACCCACCCCCATCCCCACCCACCCACACCTCACGGCCCGGCTGATGGAGGCGAGGAAACCCACCCCCACCGACCGACCCACCCCCACCACCCAACCAACCGTCCCGGCCACGGGAGACACAAGCAAGGTAGCAAAGCACCCAGCCTCGCGCGCCTTATACAGCACACAGCCTGACCCACAGCCGAGGGTATGGGTTAGGGTTAGGGTTAGGGTTAGGGTTCGGGTCAGAGAGTTCAAGCCGTTGTGCAGCTCCTAAGAACGGGCCGCTTCGGGTCGAATGGAGGAACCAGCGGTCCGTTGACGCGAGCTCTCGGTGAATGCTCCGAGTTCTTGGGGTTAGGGTTAGGGTTAGGGTTAGGGTGAGGGTGAGGGTTAGGGTTAGGGTTAGGGTTAGGGGTAGCTTGTTGTCGTCGTGCCGATAAGACAGAGACACGGGCAGCAGACGCGACCCAAATCGACGCACCAGAGCATGGTTGGGCGTGTGAGCCGCCATCTTGGACTGTGAGGCGAGCATTTGCCACCGGGAGCTCGCCGCCGCCCCTACACCGCCGCCGCCGCCCTCCCGCGGCCAAATAATAGCCCAAGTCGAAGAGTGCGCGCCGCCCTCGGTATCTG